TAATATCGATATATTTTTATCAAATTTTTATGATATTTTTAAATTTATATTTTATCTAATAATAAAAACATTATTATTTTTTTAAAATCACATAAAATCATATTATAATATTTATTCAGATAAAAAATAAAATAAAATATTAAAATCAAAAACACTTTTCTTTTAGAATTCGGTATAGATTTGCTGGCGGCATGAAACCCTCGTCTTCCTTCGTTAAACATATAAAAGCTACTAGAATGAATTTGGGAGAAAGTAAAATTGATTAGGGTTTCTTTTCATCTTCCAAATCCAGCGTACCTTCAAAGCTCAACAATTTCCCTCAAATCAATCCATGGGTTCTGCATGCAAGGTAGCCACAGATCTTCTTGTTCATTTCGTCTCTCAATTGGCTATGTTTTGAGTTTGTGAACACATGTATGCACTTGCTCGGTATCCCTCAACTCGAATTCTACCTTTTTTCTATGCAAGACTTAAGAATCTCAAATAATCCAATTTAATCGAAGCCAATCAATTGGTAAATAGGTGAGATGGTAGAGGAGTTGTACTCGCGCACGCAATTGGTATTCCTAACAGTACTGATGCATCGCAGAAATCGATTTGCACCACTTTCCCCTATTTTTCTTTGTGTAAATGAATTGTTTGCTGATTGATGTAAATCAGCTTTTTTAGCTGTCATGGGATATGAATTTCGCTCTAGTTTGTTTATGAATTTTGTTCTACTTTGTATATGAAACTTTTTTTTTACTTCGTTCGGCTTTGTGTTATTGGTAGTCACTGTTTACTGAAATCTTCGATTACAAAATAGGCTAAAACTAACAATTTTTTTAAAAGGGAACGTGAAATTCATGGTTGAACGATAAGTTTTTTTCTAAATAGAATACAACTAGTCTTCAGATTGTTGTAGAATACAACTAGTCTACAGGTATAGTTTTATCTATTTTTACCAAATTGTTGTAGGTACATCAACAAAGCTTTTATTGTCCTGTGCACTTAAAGGGTACTAGGTTGGTCACTAAAAGATGTTTTTTTCAAAACAGAGAGAGCATCCTATTAAATAGCTTGAATTCCTCCACTAGATCTAGAAAATGATCAAAAACCACCATAAATCCCCAATTAGTAATTACCATAATTAAACTGATTTCTACCTATATAAGTTTGAATTTTATATGATTAGACTGTAGTCTGTAATAAACAAATAAAAATCTATGCTGCCTTAGACTTATGGTCCCCAAAACTAGACTTCAGCTGCCTGGGGTGTACTTCTGTCGTTCTTTTTTATTCTCTGGGTATACCATTCTACATTTGGATGGTGATTAGGTTGGTGGCTAAGCTTTATTTAGCATTGTATTTATCTCATTTTCAACAATTTGGTCTTGATAGGACGACAGGGAGGAAGTCATTCAGGCGTGGTACATGGATGATAGTAATGAAGACCAAAGGCTTCCCCATCATAGGGAGCCAAAGGAATTTGTGTCCCTAGACAAACTTGCAGGTAAGGACTTCTGAACTGCGTTTTTGTAAGGTCTTGAAGTGTAGGACCATAGTTGACTTGCATAAATAAATCACTTTGTGAAATCCACAGAACTTGGGGTGCTTAGTTGGCGGTTAGATGCTGATAACTATGAAACGGATGAGGCATTGAAGAAAATTCGTGAATCACGTGGATACACCTATGTGGTTTGTGTTTTTTAATTCTTACTTTTTAATACCAGTTCTCCTAGCTTTTTTACCCACAGCTGTAGTTTGCAAAAAGTCTGGTTCTGTTGGTTGGGTGTCACGGAGATGCTTGTGTGTAGATTTTCTTTTGTGACCTATGGTTTTGAAGAGGAGTCTACAACTTTCAGGACATCTGTGAGGTTTGCCCAGAAAAGCTGCCGAATTATGAAGAGAAGATAAAAAACTTTTTTGAAGAGCATCTTCATACTGATGAGGAGATCCGCTACTCTATTGCTGGAAGTGGTGAGCATTTTTATTGTTGTGTTCTATTTTTACAGAATCTAATATTTCGGGCAACTAACCACAGACTTGTTCTAAAGGGTACTTCGATGTGAGAGATCATAATGATGCTTGGATACGTGTATGGGTGAAGAAAGGAGGCATGATTGTACTACCTGCTGGCATTTATCATCGTTTCACGCTTGATACAGACAACTACATCAAGGTACTATGATATGAACTGTCATCGATGACTTGATGTTTTGACCTCTGGAAATGTTGATACTCGCAAACCTAATTACTTTATTATGGTAGATATGTGTTTCTACATGATATATGATTGGAGAGAGAAGTAAGATAAAAACAAAAACGAGAGTAGAAAATCACAGGTTACAGCTAATGTATGCGCCAATTTGCATTCAGCAACTTGCATTATCGGGAATGTGTTATTTTGTGAACAAAAAACATTAATTTATTTAATCTAATGAGACCTTGTTTAGTTTACAGACTGGATATCTGAATTTCTGAATAGAATGTGTTATTGATATCATATAATCACTCTGTAATTGTACATATTATATATTAACGAAGTATGAATCCAATCCAACTTAGTATGCATCTTTTAAACCTTTATAGATAGCTCATAGCTTTATTGGAAAAAGTAACCTTTGCCAAACAAGGCTTTTTATGCTTAATTGTTGTTTATTTTTATGGCAGGCCATGCGGCTCTTTGTTGGTGACCCTATTTGGACCCCTTTCAATCGACCACATGATGACTTGCCTGCAAGGTATGTCTTGGTTTTTGTGCTTCTGCTTCCCTTTTTTGATATCAAAGAAGGCCTATATAATTTTAGGGGCATGAAACACTTGTTCTTAACAGACTTGTTCTGTTTCTCAAAAATAGTCCCTACAGCTACATAAAATTTGAGAACACATAATTGATATTTTTTAATGATTGTATCAAATTCTTCTCAAAATTCTAATAAGTTCAAAAGCTGAAATTGACCTTTTTATCAGCTGATGCGAGTGGCCGCTATGGTCTTCTTCTGATAGCAAGTCATTTGGGATCTGGATGATGTTTCTAAGAATGATCACTCTATTTTGCAGGAAAGAGTATCTTGAAACTTTTGTGCAGAAGGAGGATGCTGGTACTGCTGTTGATGCTGCTGCTTGAGACATAATAAGTAAGAAACTCGATACTTCTTGCACTGTAATAATCGACGGCAAATGACGAACCTAAATATAGCTTGCTGCTGGATCTCAATCATTTGTTTGTGTTACATAAAAAGTTATACCAAAATCTTATGTTATATGGTCATGTTGGTCTATAAAACCTATCTAATTAGAAATTTAATGCCATTCTGAATAGCAGCTGCACATAATACTAAATAATTGAGTTATTCCATCATTCTGAATAGCAAGTAGCAACTGAAATTATTCTTTCACGTTGACCCTACCCAATCTTAACTTTAAGGAAAGGAAAGGATAGACTTTAGCGCTTCCTCTTGATCACGATAATGTGAGAAGTATGGCTAAAGGATGATAGCATATTATAAAAAGATTGTTCCACCCCTTGTATGTTCACTTTCTAATCTCATTGCCTTTGACTCTTCCAACTCTAGATGTACTTTTGATGGTTCATTATGATTTTCACCGATTTGTTTTTTGGTTTTTGCTTTTTTGATCGCTTCCTTTGCGGTCTTTCTCCCAATTGACCTTTTCAAGCTTACATACTTAGAAGTTAATACGTTGTCATCATCTTAATTGATTGGCATTGGAGCTTTGGTAGAATGAGCTCTTGACCTTTTCTTATCTTCAATGTTCATTCATCGATTTATGTTGGAACCTCAATATAATCCAACAATGGTCTAGCCAAAGCTTTTCTCTTTTCTAAAAACCTCTTTTGCTTTTATTATTCATTATATTGCAGATTTGTAGATAATAAAACCATATTCAAGATAGTGTAGTATCTCAATTAGTTTAGTTATGAAAACTGCTTCTCAACCATACCACTTTTAACAAAATTAACCGAGCCTAAACTGATCAAGCTAGACTTTTATTTCTCATAATCTATTATCTTATCTTGTTCTGTGCAACCACTTTTTGTGAGTGTTCAATTTCAGAGTAAATTCCACAAAACCTACACACAGTACCACTGATTTTCGTCCAACAGCTTGTTAATGATTTCTCAGCGTGACCTTTATACCATGGACTTTGCTTTTGGTGTTATACTTTGTGATTTTTTCCGCAACTGGCTCTTCTTTTCTTCATTTTCTTTCACTGCATGTAAGCTATCATTCAATCATGCATATACACGAAGCTTATTTTCCTTGTCAAAATTGTTTCGCCCTTTTGTGCTTTTTTGTTGCCAAGTCCAAAGGGGCATCTCTGATGTCTTCGTCCAATGGTCTCTTCTCATACGTGTACACAGGTGAAGTAGAACCGAAGCTATTAGTCTGAAACTGAGATAACATTAAATCACATATCAGATGTGGTATGTTAAGGTCATTGAGGCTTGACTAGTTATTGAGAAGATCTATTTGTTTTAAATACATCCGAAAGAAAAGGAATAGCAAGCATATAGCTAGAATTTGGATTAATCAGCCGCCTAGGCTTATGGGAAGGTACATCACTCTGGTTATGATCAAATCAGAAATAAAGCAGCGCAGCGTAGACAGATTGAACTTTCAACTTACCTGCAATCTACGATTATTGAAATGCAAGTTCCAAGTTTTGATTACGTTTCGCTAGTAAGATGTCAAGTTGGCATTGGAGATTGTAGAGAGAATTGTGCAAATTCCGAGGTGCAGTTGATGTTAGAGGTTCAAAGAAGGGAGAGGGATAAACACCGAATTCTGTTCTGGATCTTTTCACCCTAAGCATAGTGCATACATCTTAAAACCAACTTGCTACACCGACTGTATAGATGGCTGGTCATTTCACAATGACCTCAAGGGCCATAATTGATATACAATTTAATGTGTCTCGGTTCTACTTCACTACTGTATGCGGATTTTGAGTTGACACGATGAAGATAATTCTTCTATACATGACAACAACAACCCACTAAGAGGGGACGGTTTAAGTTGTTTGCGGCATTTAAACAAACAAATACAGGCACAGCCGTCTCAACCCAAACCGTTAGTTGTGTTTTTGGTTCTGTTGATGGGTTAATTCAATACGTTAATTTAATGAAAGAAAGAAAGACGGGTTAAGCTGTTAATCCGGTGTAGCTTATCTTGGTGCATCTCATTATAATGTGCATTCTAGGGTGGAGATCTATTCTTATGTTTATCACCTCAACTTTCATTCTCATCATAACCCAGTTCTACATGTTCAATCAACATTGTTCTAAGAACAATTATTGATTGTAAAGGTGATAAACATCAATCTATAGGGCCAAGAAAGGGAACTTAATTTAGTCAAATTTGATATGAGATTTTAGAAGGCGATTGCGATGAAATTGTTTTAGGTGATTTATCTATATTATATTATAAAGTATTTGATAAAAGCTTTTAAAAATTATTTTTATACATGAAGTACTGTTTATTGATGTATATTACCTAAAAATTAAGATTACAAATAAATTGTGCGTAAGTACATCTTATTAGAGCTTTATATCTGAATTTGTGTAACAAACTATAGATAATTAAATACATGGTAAATATATCATTTTTTAAATATAAAAAATTTGAAATAAAATTAAGATAATCATTGAGTTATAACAAAATATTTAATTATTATCTTTATAAAAATTATATTATTAAATTAAAAATAAATTACTTTGTAATTAAATCTAAATTAAGTTATAATAAAAAAATTATACAAAAATGAGAAAATTCTAAAAAAACCCAATGAACTTTAGTGTTTGGAATGATTAAGTCCTTAGACAATTTTTTGGAACAAATAAGTTATTGGACATTTTAAAACATGTTAAATAACTTATTGGACAATTTTTTTGAAACAAATAAGTACTTGGACAATTTAAAACATGTTAAATAACTCATTGGACAATTTTTTGGAACAAGTCCTTGGACAATCTAAAACATGTTAAATAACTCCTTGGACTTTTCTAAAACATGTTGGATACATTCTTATGACTTGTACAACTAGTTAATGTGGTAAAATAGTGAAAAAAGTCCGGAAAAAAATCCAATGAACATTCATATTTGGAACGATTAAGTCCCTAAACATTTTTTGAACCAAAAATTATTTAGATCTATAAATTTAATAATAATTCTTTTTAAATTTTTTATATTATTTTAGTGAAAAATCACTGACATAATATATTTTAATTTTAATTAAAGTAAATTTTATTAAAAATCTTTTTTAAATGTAATTATTTTTTTGTAAATGTAAGTATTTTTTTGTTTTATTTGTTTAATTTTATTAATCTAAATACTTTTCAGTTTAAAAAATATTTAGAGACTTAATCGTTCAAAATATGAATGTTCATTGAGTTTTTTTTTGGGATTTTTTTCACTATTTTACCACATTAACTAGTTGTACAAGTCATAAAAATGTATCCAGCAGGTTTTAGAAAAGTCCAAGGAGTTATTGAACATGTTTTGGATTGTTCAAGGTCTTATTTGTCCAAAAAAATTGTCCAATGAGTTATTTAATATGTTTTAAATTGTCCAATGACTTATTTGTTCCAAAAAATTGTCTAAGGAGTTATTTAACATGTTTTGGAATATTCAAGGACTTATTTGTTTCAAAAAAATGTTCAAGGACTTAATCATTCAAAACACTAAAGTCCATTGAGTTTTTTTAGACTTTTCCCTTCAAAAACAAACTTTTAAATAGTTAATTTGATATTAATATCGATATTTTTTTAAAAATTTTATGATATCTTTAACTTTATATTTTATTCAAAATAAAAATATTGTAATTTTTTTAAAACTACATAAAACCGTGATAAATCAACATAGACAGAATAAAAAACATTAAAACCGAGATAAGTAAAGCAATATCAAAAGAAGAAGCATGAGTGTATTATCTGATTAGACTTTTATCTCTAAATGTAGCAGAATTTTGTTACAACATCATATGTGGTTGGGGGGACGGCTTTCAATAGTTCACTATTGGATCAAAGGATTTTCTTTTAAAGTTCACATAAGTGTATTTATGAGTATAGGTGAAAGATTGATGATTTGAGGTGGAATTTCTTCAGGATTGGTGTTGTTGGAAGTGACAAATTCAATTCAGTAAGTTTGAAAATTCGTATAAAATCAACCATTTATCCAAATGAGATGTTATTTATATGAACATAAATATCTATTAGTGTACTACAACTTTGTAGTTCACACCAAAACCTAGTTCTGAGTTTAAGCAACTCGAAAACATTGGTTTTCTCAGCCCTGCTCTGCAGCTTCGAAATTTCACTATGTTAGTCTAAATTCTGTAGTAATTACACCAGAGCTCCAAATTATATGAATCCTGTTTCTTTGAAATCCTAAGAGGTATCTACAACTTTCATTTATACATGAAAGTTTGGTTTATCTTCTAGGTATGAACCGAATACCATATATCTCTGGTTACCGGGGAATGAGATGGTGTGGTGCCCAACACTTCCATTCCATTACGACGCTTGATTGGACTGATCATCCATCGGGAACAACGTATCCTAATGATATGGATGACCTTCTTACCTTGATTTTTATTTATTTATTATATAAGCTTCAATTTTAGATATGTACACTTAAATGCATTTCAACTTTTATCGTAATGTTTTCTTGCATTTACTATTTTATCTTGTATTTATAATGTTATTATTCGTTAACTGGGCAAATTTTTGCTCAGCCAAGGTTTGTTTTGTTTTATATTGGCACGTTCAAAATTTAACCCGGGGGCAGCATGAACGGTCGAGATGGCTCAGCATGTAGAAAGAATAGTTTTAGATCAGTACTTTTGCTATGTACATATGTTAAACATATGAATACTATTTGGTTGTAATGTAATCTTTTGGAAGTTATGTTAAAGCTCTATACTTTGATCTATATGTTTTTGATCCATTTTCGGTTGTGTCACGCCTCATCTTAGGTCTAGTAGGATGGGGGTGTTACAACGGTAGTTAGAATTAAAGTCTAGTATACTCGTTCTTATGTCTACTCATCTCTCACATGTCAAGCCTAATTAATCTACAAGTCAAAGTTTATGCTCTTATACCACATTTGTAACATCCCCCATCCACGTGGTTTGGAACGGACGGTGTCACTAACGGAACTTAATTCAAAAACACAAACAATTTAGAGCTACTAAAACTCCAAAAATAAATTAACTTTTTAAACATGTTTTACAACCCAAAATATTACATTCTAGCAACTATTTATAAGCTTAGAATATTAACATCTACAAGCGAGTTTATAAACTCCAAAAGTCAAACGTTC